TGCAGTTACTGCTTTCCCTGCTGGAAGAACAGCTTGAGGGTTGGCATGGCTGTTAGGTGCTTAGTGTGGGCTTCAATTAAGGTAAATTACAAGAAGAAAGAATCGCATTTGATTTCTGTCTGATGACCTTGAAGTTTCAGGTTGAAGAGCGCAGCAGAATTTCTTTGTGTGGTGCATTTTTTACTACTTTATTTTTTTGACAGAGGGCTCACACATGGTTTTATTACAGTACAGGGAAGCTGAAGTTGGATTGCGTACAATAACTGATAGGAGAGATGAAAGCAAACCTTAAATCCAAGTTACTCTGAAACTGGCATTGTGCCTCCGGCTGCCTCCGAGTTACAGCCCATGATACTTGCTTTCTTGTGGCCTTAATAAGCCTTGATCTTTGTACTTACATTTATGAAACTACTTTTTGCATACATGCAGTTTTTATGTTTCTTGAGTTAAAATGATTTTTTTCTCTCGTCTGAGATAAGTATGCTTCACTGCATCAACTTTGTGGTCTATTAAGTTTGCAGCCTGGGTTTAAGCTCCAACTATGGTTCAGCAGAGGCAAAGCATGGTACTGCTGGGGAACTTAGTATCCTTTTGCCTTTATTCAGCATGTAGATATCTCTACCTGTGTGCTTGTCGTTCCTGGAGTGTATTGCGACCTTACCTGAAATCCTGGAAAGACCATGTGCACTTAGACTTGTACCATATGTCTGTGAAGATGATGATCACAAGGTAAGGAATTCACACTTCCCTTTCACCAGGAAATAGCAACAGGTTTTTAACAGTTCTTTCAGTCTGCTGAATGACTGAACCATAGACCTGTCAGAATCGGCTGCTTTGGGCAGTTTTTGTCAAAGGTACTAAGAAGCCCTTCATAGTTATGGTCACTGAAAGGAAGATAAGAGGGTGAGTTTCTCTGCAGACTCTCAATAGCCGTGAGATGTGCGGAATTGCTTTTGCTGACTTGTGTCACGTGGGACCTGCGAAAACCAACTTTCAAGGAAATAATTTTTAATCATTCTGGTTGTCCCAGTTAATAAAACTAAGTACTGTGAAAATAAGTTGGTATATTTGCTACTGTGAGAATAAGAGTTTATCTGGAGTTTTTTATACTATATAGTGTATTTTTATATATGAGAAATATATATAAAATATACACATGCTCGCACACATCGCACTGTGTTTTTAGTAACATTGCAGCCACAATCATTCTGATGAAACTAGGAAGAGTGAATAAGGGAAACCTGCAAGAGAAAAAAGTGCAAGGGGTGGCTGCTGAGTTACTTTTCTACAGCGCTTCTTTTCAAAGAAAAATTGAGGAAGTGGTGTGTATAGCTGAGTTTGTGACTAAGGCATCACCTAATATTAAAGAGCATAAAATCTATTTTAAAATTGCTGGCATTCAGCTTTTAAGTGCACTTTCCTGAACTACACTTCCATTTCTTGTTAGACTTCAAGTTTCTAAGCTTTTTTGTGTACCACTAAACAGAGTTTTGTGAAACTGATGTATGTCATAAATATTGCAGTTGTTAAATAAATAAACATGATAACAGTCACTTTGCAGATGTCCTTAAACATGGCATTATTAAGTACTCTCATTTAGGCTGTAAGCTATTCTATAAACAGTGTTGCTTCTCCTAGTTGCTTTTTGTGGCTGTAGGTTCCTGTTGATGTTTTTTAATGATGGTTACATCAGCAGCCCACTATTGCCATCTCGGTTCAACTTGTTGATAATATATTAAGAATGTCCTTAGGTTCATTATTACTCCTTTAAGCCTTCCTGCTTTCAAAATGCTTTTGAAAGGACACACTCGGATTCGTAGCTGCTAACTGAAGCTTTATCCCTTTTCAGGGGCCATAACTTTAATTTTCATTGCTAACTCCAGACTTAGTTCTGCACTTAATCTTACAGACATGTTTTTCACTTGATTTGACTCACTCTACCAACTACTAGCCAGAGCAGCTTTTTGGTAACTGCTTCTACTGGTTTATTTCATATCTAAGCTGAAGAAAACCAACACTGTAGGAAGACTAGGAGCAGCAACAGAACATAGGTATGAAGTTGTAGCTCATTCATGGTTGTTCTGTCTTCTGCTTGTTACCCATTTCAAACATTGTGTGAAGCAATTCATGTGTCATCTGAGTATTCTGTTAAAAGTGTTACAAGTAAACATCCAATGAACCAAAATTTATTTACAGGCTCAGTATTTACAGAAAAGGCCATCATGCAGTTTAATAAATTTTGTCAGGATAATAAAAATGTACAACTTAACAATCTTCTCTTATCCAGTGAAAACTGCTACAGTAGTAAGTTTGGAAAAAAAAAATTAGCAAATTGTAAAATAAGTATGTTTTCAGTACACAGTCACAGATTTCTCAAATGTTATTATTCACTTGTGTATTCACAATGTAACACTGAAAACAAGCTTTAACAATTGCAGGATCCTTGTCACACTTTAGCAGCAGTCATTAGTGCACTTCAAATTTGCTTTACTGTCAAGTTTAAAAAAAAAAAATAATCAGTGTTTATACTGGAAGGCTCAGAAGACTGGGATTTGAACTTCAAATGCATTTAGTTCTTTCCAATAACTGTTTCTGGAGCTGGGAAGAAAAAAATCACTTAAGCTCAGTGAGGATTTGGTGACAGCATTGCTCTCCAGCGTACCAGCAGAAGAGGAAGGGTCCTGCCTCCTCCATGCCTGGTACAAGGTAAATGCTTGTCAGTAAATGACTATCACTGTTCCCTTGGCACGTTCCCTGTGTAGAAGGCTGAGGGGAGCTGGGAATGTTTTGCCCAGGACAGAGGCAACTTCGGTGGGACCAAACAGCACCCTGCCAGCCTCTAGGCTGGCACCCACTGAGCTTCACGCTGAGCACCAGGTATCTAACAACCTGCATAGCTCCTGTCTCTTTAGTGTTGGCATTAAACCAAGACATGGTTTAACTGCAGACTATAAAAACCCAAGGTTGTCTTTACTGCAGAAAGCAAATAGCAATAAATCGCTTCAGCTAATGAAGTGTTGGAAGTACAGCACGAGTCATTAAAAGGCCAAAGTTCAGTGGCTTGAAGTCATAGCAGTCTTACTACTCTGGGCTTGTTAATTACACCTACTAAAAGAACACGTAACTTACAAAAAAAAATCCTTTGCACTTCTACTAATTCCAGGGTAACAGCAAGTGTAAGACTATTCCTGAAACATTTCAGAACACTTCAGAAGCACCAGAGTGGTGCAGAGAGATTTGCTGAAGTAATGGCACCACCTATACTTGAGGACACAGTTTAAGATTTGAAATCAAGATAGATATGGTAGATAACATCCATCTCCCAGAAAAAGGGAAACAACTAGAAAAGTACTATACTCCACTGAATTTGACATTACACATTACTGTCCTGATGTTGAAGTGTACACACATCACTTAGACAATGATTCTGAAGGATGCAGCACCCTGTACCAATGCAGTTTAGAGCCAAGACCAGCCACTCAGTTAACCAGAGTTCTAAAAGCACACTACTCCTGGGAGTGTGTCCTTTTGTTCTGTACTGCAACAAAACCTGAAGACATGGCATATGGGCCTGCTAGCTTAGCAGTGGTATGCAATTCTGTTGTTTGTATTTACGAAGCAGGAAAATAATGCAGTGCTCCAAATGCTTAGTTCTACAGCCCACCTTTTTGTTGTCCCACTCTAAGAAAGACCTGCTTTGTACTTGATTGCAGAGCAGGAAATGATGAGAAGGAAATGAATCTCAGATCTCAGAGAGAATGGCCTCAAGTCGTGCCAGGGGAGATTCAGGTTGGATGTTAGGAAATACTTCTTCTCTGAGACAGTGGTCAGGTGCTGGAATGGGCTGCCCAGGGAGGTGGTGGAGTCACTGACCCTGGAGGTGTTCAGGAGATGTTCAGATGTTGAGATATTGAGATCCAGGCAATGCTACTTTTTCCCCCAGCATTCCTGTTAACGTATCATCTCAGTGAGTAGGGTAACAGTCCAGAAGTTGGAAAGGAACTGCCTCAGTGCTTACTTTCATGGTTCTGCATATTTGTAAGGTTCAGACTCCTGTAGTCAGAAGTTTCATTGCAGTGCCTCTGAAAGGCAGTTGAGGAAAGAAAAATTGTCAGTTATTACGCATAGGAAACATTAACTCTTACCTAACTGCCCCAGATCCCATGCATATTAGACTAAAAAAAAACTGACAAAAACGTTAGGAAAAAGCTACATATAAACAAATGTTGATAAGTGCTTGCAACTGTTGTCAGACAGAGCTGTTAGGGACCTAGCAGTGATTTGTCCAGCCTGCTCTAAAACCCTGCTTGAGGGCACTGCAGACTCACATAACGCAGCAGCAGCCTGCCTGCTATCAAAGTAGCTGTTTGCTTATTCACAAGGAAACATTACACTAGTAAGCGTTTTCTCTGGGGGAGCTAATTAAATTAATGGAACCAACTAATGGAACATTGTGACATGTTGAAAACAAGATTACTTAACTCTCTACTTGTTAAAATCTCATGTTCCCACAAGCACAAAGGCTATACCTTCACTCACAAGTCCACGCTATGCTCAGGACAGGGCTTGCTGTGTCGGTACTGCATGATGTACACTGCAGACTGGTGCCACCAGTACAACATCACTACTGCAAGGATGTGCCATATTTGGTGACTAGAGCCGAGGTAGTTGAGCTGTCCTGTGGGGAACAAAAACAGGAAGCAGTTGTTAAATCTGCATTAACTCATGAAAGGCAAGCAGCAGGCAGTCTATTCCCAAGCTCAGTCACGTGTTCAGCTGGCTGGGAGACAGTTAAGTTCTTTACTGAAGAACAACAAAAGTCACCTGACTTCTTCTGACTGAAGTGCACATCAAGTTTGAGTTCTTTTGGTGCCAATGCACGCTAAGTAGAACATAATCAACTGTACTCTCATCAAAAATTCAGGACTCGCAGCAAAGACTGTGACACTGCAGGAAGCTCAACTGCAGAAAAACACAACAGAATTTCATACCTGGAAAGTATCTTTCTGGAACTTTGGAAATATAGAAGAGAAATGCTACAGCAGCAATGAAATACATGACAACCACACGTGGAGCAAACTCCTGCAAAAGAAAAGGAAGCTTTCTTACTCTGCTCTAAGGTAAAAAATATTTTAAAATAATAATTTCAAAGTACATTTAAAAGAAAACAAAAGGTGTGACAAAATGGAATATTATTTTGCTGCTCACATTATCTATTGAATAGAACAGAATCCAATTGAGAAACAAATGCCAAAACTTGGAAAAAGTCTGAATGGAAGGCCACAGGAATATTACAGATTAGACTGTAAGTAACCAAACTAGCTGCTGGAAAGCAACCCACTCACTTGACCAGTTTTTTTGTTTGTTTGTTTTCAATAACAGAACGTTTTATTGCTGAAAGCAGAGCATTTTCTCTGAAGTGTGGAAGCAAAATGAGTATCACATCTACCATTCTGCTCTATCAGGACAAACTAATTGACTAACTGGAAAAAGCAGGGGCAGCAATGATTGCTTGCCTACTTGACTTTTACAAAGTGAGTGTTTCAGTACCTTGTCTGAAGACTGCATTTATTACCAATGCTGCTCTTCCAAATTCAGCAGTAGCTCTGGACCAGGCTAAATCAGCATCCTAGAAGACAGTCCTCCTGAAGTGCCAATCTTAAGAACTTTCACAGGCAGTCACTTGCTATGAAAGCAAAGGTTTTTTTCAGTTCTGTTAGAGCCCTGGCTAATGGCTGTGATTCCTGGGGGAATGTTTTAAACCTTGGGGCACATTCACCTTCTTTAACAGTGCTGTACTTCCTGTTTTTCAGAGCTGAGTAACCTTTACCATAGTGGTAAAGCAAGAGAGGGAAATTAGTTTGGTAACTTAACAGTGATATTAAACAAATAATGCGTGAGAGACAGAAGGCTGTGTAGGCAAATGTCGATTTTGCCACCAACCCAAGGCACAGAAGAGGAAGAACTTCCCACCCATGTCTCCTGGTTCACCTCACCTCTGCAACCTGTGCATCCTGACTGACTGCTTCCCACTTGCCTGCTGACTCAGCTCTCTGCTCCTGCTCCTTGCCCTGAGGTGTGCAAGGGTGCGTCCGACCTGCACACACTGCTCTGCCCCTCAGGCAAGCACAACGTCGTGGTCATGTTTGCATCCAGGTGGGTCTTCTCACAGTTCAACTTTAAATCACTGAAACAGACTTCATCTATTCAACCTGTTGATTGGCTTTCCATAAATCTGAGCGTTCCAAAGGAATCCTGTGCTTTAAGAAATCGTCACTAGCTCTACTTCTCCCTCATTTCCAAAATGAGACCGAGGGAAGATGCTAAGTGCAAAGCAAAAGTAAATCTTATTTCCGTGTTATTGTCTTTTACCTGTACAATAGCTGCACCAATGCCACCGTTGAGTGAAACCCAGTGGATAGTAGGAATAATGCCGTATCCAGACACTGAGCAAAAGATGATGGAGCGCAGCCTGCGCCACTGCTGTGTGAGGTAATTGGGATGAATCTGAACAAAAAATACTGCCAAGATCATTGCCAGCACAGTGATTAAGTACACCTGACGCCAGTACTGAGAAAAAAGAAACACAATTAAGTTTGTATGTTTGCTCATCTGAGGTAAACTCTGGGTAGAAAATCTACGTTACTAAACACAAAGATTCAAAATGTTCTCGTCCCTTCTGTGACCACAAATGACAGTGCTTGAATCAGGGTGTTCTTAGTAATCCAGTGAAGGGGAAGATGCTCTTACTTCACATCTATTTCACACGCTTCACCAAAACATGTATTAAACATAACTCTGTTATAACTACTTTAACTACCAGATCAATACTTTCCTGTACAGGGAGCACAGAAGTTATAAAAGTTTAGAATTCCAAAGCGATTTAAGCTTGTTTCTGCCCCATATAAATGCTGGGAGGAACATCCCATTATGGGCCTCATGCCTTTGACAAAGACAGGACCTGTAAAGTTTACACTGACTTTATAATGATTTAAATATTGTCTTGAGGCTTGTGCAATTGACAGCTTAAAAGGAATCTCTTAATCTTTTACTTCTGCAAGCAAGGTTCTGCACCTGTCCCCTGCCAAATGTGCCACCTGGACACCATGTGACAAAGCCCTTTCCCAACACGTGGAAACCATGGTGATGGGACCACAGAAACAAGTGACTCAGACTTACTTTACTACAATAAAATGCATAAAACACGCCTGATACGTAGCAGCCTAGGATACCAATGGAAATTCCTGCGTAATCTAATGCCATCCATCTTCGGCTGGTCTTCTCTGAGCGATGACAACAGAAGAGATGATATCCTACTGAGCAAAGCATACAGACCTACACAAATATATCAAAACAAGGACACATTAATTTCTTGGTAACAGACGGGGATTAATGGGGATTAAGCTTCAACTCTGAAGCTTAAGAGTCCAAAAGTAACCTGTTACATGTTCTACAGAACTACTTGGTGTAGACAATTATGATTTCTGCTTATAATCAGTGGAAACTAGCATAACCTCTTTTGCAGATGAAACACAAAACTCTGCAAGACTTGATAACCACAGGCTGCAGCTAAGGAAACGAGGGTACTGAGGGTACAAAAGTGTGCCAGTGCATACAGGAGCAGGGCTCCACCTGCCCAAGTATGACCAAGATGAATTCAGTATGGTCCAGCTACAACAAGCAGAAACCAAAGCTCAAATCCTTGAATACCAGCACTCTGCAGCTTTGCTGAGGGTACACAGAAGTGACTAACCTCTGACACGCAGTACACTGACTTGGCTTCTTGGCTGGCATCAATTTTTTTTCCCCCTGAGAAACAGAATCATAGAATATCTAGAGTTGAAGGGGATCCATAAACATCATTACATCCAACTCCTGGGTCCACATAGAACCACCAAAAGTCCAAACCCTATGTCTGAAAGCATTGTTCAGGTGCTTCTTGAACTCTGACAGTTGTGCAAAATGCACAAGAACCCCAAGTCCAGCTGTATAATAACATCAAAGAATCATCCAGGTTGGAAAAGACCTCTAAGGTCATCTAGTTCAGCCATTAGCCCTATCCCACCTTATCAGTTGCTCAGTATCACAGCTCCACATATCTTGACCACCACCAGGGATGCTGACTCTACCACGTTGCAGTGCCAATGCCTCACCACTGTTTCTGAGAAGAAAGGTTTCCCAGTATCCAACCTGAACCCCTCCAAGTGCAACTTGAGGCCATTACGTCCTGTGCTACTGCTGTTATGTAGAAGGGGCCGATCCCCTACCTCATTACAGCAACCTCCTTTCATGCAGCTGCAGAGAGCAGTGAGGTCTCCCCTAAGCCTCCTCTTCCCACACTAAACTATACCAGCACCTCATCTTGTTAATATTCGTGCAGCTGGCCTCACCCCATTAATCCACAGCTGGTTTTTGTGCTCGAGCTGGTGATCAAGCCATCGCCATCCGCGGGCACAGCGCTGGACACAATGCCCAGCAGAAACCAGAACACAAAGCCTCGGCCTGCCCAGCCGGCGTTCTGCAGCCTCTCCTATGCCAGCCATGCTTCGTTCTTATAAGAAACGGTTCAAAATCAGCTCGGCCCGCGAGCCCATCCGCCGCACGGCGCACAGCACGGCGCCCCACCTGGAAGCAGAAGAGGCAGACGGCGCAGATGACGAAGTCCTCGCGGGCGGCGCGAGCGGCGGGCAGCACGACGGTCAGGTCGCGGATTCCCAGCGTGAAGAAAAGCAGGAAGCCCAGCAGGTGGCTCCAGATGTTGACGCTCTCGTTGGAGAGGATAAAGAGGCTGCGGGGAGACGCGGCGGGGCTGAGCGGGGCTCCGAGGCCCCGACCCGGCCCCGGGGACGGCCGTACCTGCGGAGACAGAGGCGCGAGGGCAGGTAGGCGCGGTAGCCGTCGGTGATGTAGGGGTTGTCCCTCAGGAAGACGGGGATCTGCTCGTAGGTGTACAGACGGATGCCGCGCGGCAGCAGCACGGGCCAGTACTGGTAGCCGCCCAGCTCGATGTAGTGCGCGCTGCGCAGCAGCTTCTGCTGCATCCTGCCCGCCCCGCATCGGCACGCGGCCCTCCGACCCCGCCACGGCACCGCGCAAAGCCCGGCCGGCCCGGCTCGCGCACACCACGTTGCGGCGCTTTGCAACGGGTGGCTGGCGCGGGGAGATGACGTCAGAGCAAGGCGGAGTGTCCTGAGGTGTGCGGTGCTGCCGTCTGCTGGCCGGCGTCGGTCAGCGTCAGGCAGTTGCGCTTCGAAGGGAGAGAGCTATCTCCCTTCTAAGACGAGCCAGTCCTTTCAGAAGGATCGGAACGTGGCAGACCTGTACGCAAAACGGGCCCAAAAGAGGCAATACAAAGTTTTAAAGTGCTGAGAGCCCTCGGCTTGCTGGAATTGTGCTGGCTCCGTGCAACAAAGAACTCGGCTTAGTTCATCATGCAGCATCAGCTGGATACTTCTCCGCATGCCTGGCTCTGTTTCTGAGGTTGAAGACAAGAGTCCTGAATGGGGATCCTTGCTCATCATACACCCTTCCCTTCTGTGGCCTATGAATGTCTCCCATCTCACAGAATCACAGAATGGCCGAGGTTGGAAGGGAATTCAAGGATCATGAATCTCCAACCCCCTGCCACAGGCAGGGCCACCAACCTCCCCATTTGCTTCTAGACCAGGCTGCCCAGGGCCCCATCCAACCTGGCCTTGAACATCTCCAGGGACGGGGCATCCACAACAATCTGATTTAAACAAAACATAGAAGTGCCTTACCAGGATTCTATGGTGGGAATGGAATGTTTCCCATGGCAGAGAGATCCCCGCGGTAAGTAGAAGATGCAGGATGATGGGCATTTGAAACCTGAGAGTGATGATAAGGACCAGGTGTTCCATCCTAGAAGTAGCAATACAACCATTTTGATACATAACCCCTCAAGCTGCACGTCACACTGTTTGGTCACACGAATTAAGAAGCTCATTCCTCTTTAGCTTGTCTTCCTTTCCATATGGCTTCTTTCTTTTGGGCTTTTCTCTAGCTTGCTATTAGCTAAATTATTAATCCTACATTATTTTTAAAAAAAAAGAAAAAAAGAAAAAAGAAAAAAGAAAAACACCCAGAGAAAGTACATTCTGAAAGAAGATCCCTAAGCATAGTTTTGGCTGGAGGAGAGCAACCAAGATAGTACAGACAGCTATGTGCAGGATGGAGCACAGGATATCCCTTCATAGTCACATTGGGTACCAAGGAAGTATGGTGTAATACAACACCTTGCAGGGACACAGTGCTAGGAGCTGGGCTTGCCTGCACTCAGGAGGTAGCTCGGTGAGTCTCACATGTAATGGGGTCACAGAGGGACAAGAGAATCCAAACACAGTTTCCTGGAAACAAAATCTTGGGAAACCACAAAGGAGTTATTTTCAGCTTGGTTGGAAGGGAAGTAATTCATCCAGCACTAGATGTTTCTGTTCTGTGCTGGAAGAATTGTTCCACTTCCATCTGACCTACATCAGCTGTGCTAAAAATAGGAAAGCACCCTGTTTTGGTCAACAAATGCACTTGGAAGCTGAAACATCTAAACTAATGGGACCCTGCTAATGAGAATGACCGCTAGACACCAGTAATCTTTACTAACCAGTATCCCCTTCCTTCTTCTCTTTTGAATGCCTAGAGAATAAAGGAGACTGTATTTATGCACACACATGCATTTAAAAGAATAAGGATATAGCTGCCACATTACTTTGGGTGAGAGAACCTTGACGATGCTGAGAGGCGGCTGCTGTTGTAGGACTGAGCAGGAAAAGCAGGCAGCATCCTCCCCAGCTCCTGCTGATAAAGGAGATCCATTGTTCACTTGAGTTGTGAAATCAGTGTATTCACTTTCGTCAGGCCAAATGCAGCTTAGAAAGTTGCTACCAGGTTAAAAGTGTAATGTAGTTTTAATTGTCCATTGGATCGTTAGCTCATGGAGAACATTATACCTGGGAAAGAAAACAAAAACATAACAACAACAACAAAAAAAAACACCAAAAAACAAAACAAACTGTTTTCAAGCTTTGTGCAATTTAAGTTAGACCCCGAGTGCTTCAAAGAATTCAATCAGAAGGAATCAGAGCTAACAGAACTTTCTTTTTCTTTCTTTTTCTTTCTTTTTTTCTTTTTTTCTTTTTTTTTTTTTAAGTAGCTTTAATTGGCTCTGAAGTTTAAGCTTCGAAGCTTTGATAGAAGAAATGTTACAGCTTCAGTTAATAGGGAATATTGAGAAACAATTAGGGCAGCTTTAAATTAATTACTTTGACTATTTATTTTGAGCTTATTGAACAATTGTGTTATATGTGTAAGAGATTGAAATTAGCCATCTGGGCAAGATAGCTTTGACCTAAATTGACCTTTTTGGGTAAATACCTAGCTTGCCCTAATTCCTATGCTGTAGCCCTACTTCTACTGGCAGACAAGCTTTATTGGGAGTGACAATAAACGTCCATGAGAAGTTCCATGCTTCTCTGCTGAAACTCAGATCACCTGTGTGAGCTTCTAAAGAGAAACCTGAGGAAATCACAAATGGCGGAAGCTGTTTCTCTGTTTCTGTTATTCTGTCTCTGTATTTTTGTTAATATTTTCAAGCTAGAAGAGGAAGTTTAGATTGTAAGGAAGAAATTTTTTACAGTGAGGGTGATGAGGCACTGGCAAAGTTTGCCCAGAGAGATGATGGAAACCCCATCCCTGGAGAGATTCAGGGTCAGGCCAGAGGGGCTCTGATCACCCCACCTAGCTGCGAGTGTCCCCGTTTATTGCAGAGGAGTTGGGCTAGGTGTCCTTTAAGGGCCCCTTCCAACTCAAACGATCACGTGGTTCGACGATTACAGTTTTGTCAGAAGAGTTTGTGGATATCTTTGGTTGGACTTTGCTTCCAAGTCATTTCCTCCCTGCTTTTCTCTGAAAAGAGCAGTGCAGAACGAGGCAGATGTTCGGTGCAAGTAGCTCCGGAAAAATCAGGTACCGCTTTGCGAGGTGTTTCGTGGCTCATCCTGCAGGTGTCACTCTGGCACTGTGCTATCAGTAGAACATCTGCATTCCATCCTGGTGGGAAGGCGTTTGCTGTACTCGCCAGCTCAATTAGCTGCCTCTTCATTGACTTCCTAATTAGCAAATAACCGGTACAGCGACTTGGGTTCTCATCCCGCAGACCCCTATTAGTGTAAGATCAGTGCTAGAACAGGATAGAAAGTGTGACTTGCTCTCGGATTCCGTTCTTAAATACTTAGCACGATATCCCCCAAGTGTGAGTTGTGGGGACCTGGCTCTTTGTAAATTTGTTGTGAGCAAACAAGTGGGAGGCGGCCTGAGGCTGCTTTTCCCACTGTTGGAATCTGCTCCCGTGGGAGAGCCCGTCTTGCTCTGAGCTCTTCGGAGCAGACAGTTCAGTGCCTGCGAATGAGATCTGTCATTAGGCTGACCTTAGCTGAGGAAATGCATTTGGGAGCGCTGGCGGAAGGTATCGAGTATCTTCCTTTGCATAACACTCGCAGCCTGGAGACTTTGTCACCGCTGTGTCAGTGCATAGCCGCCTTCTTATCTGCCTGTGTATAAATACATTCATCTTTTCCCTGGGGGTGGCAGGAGGTACGTCTTGTCCCAAAGCCTGTGTATGAGCGTGCATTTCAGTGCAAAGCCTGTGAATAAAATATAGGCACTGGTTTATGATCATAGCCGTCATGCATTTATCCATGTGCATAAAGCACTTTTAGTTCTGAATGTATGTGCAAAGAAGGCTTGCAAATGGCTACGGGCAGAATGCATTTACCGACTGCTACACTGGGAGATAAAGTTATTTAAAGCCTCTTGTTATCTAAACCAGATATATCCTCCCATATCTTTTCTTGGGAGTAGCCAAAGTATCCGTCAAATTAACTATTTCCTGTTGGTATGTGGTGTAGCTACACATGGGAAAATAAGGTTTACAGCTTTGTGAAGTCTTTAAAAGAGTGGGGGAAAAAAATAAATACTCAGATAACCCTAATCCACACACTGCCTTCAGGAGAGAGCATTAGGAATGCAAGTACCTTTGTATGCATGATAACTACAGTGATCTCCCTGCTGAGATAGCTTGCTTTCCAGGCCCTTCCTCTGTGGAGTTGCATCTTTCTCCTTTGTATTTCATCTGCAGGGTTTGAACAGTAAAGTTCTCTGTGGTCTCCTATACCACTCTTCTCAGCACAGAACTGGAGCAGCTTCCAGCGCTGCCTGAAACAGAACGCCTGACATCTGTCGTGGGGGCTCGGGCTCTCTTTTCCTCTCCCCATGGAGAGATGCATGTGCAGTGTGTGCAGTGAAGTGACTTGCTTTGGTAGGGCTCTTCCTTTTTTTTGTTTTTTTTTTTTTTCTTTTTTTTTTTTTTTTTTTTTTTTTTGGCATTTCTGTTTTCTGATTCAATCCCTTTGGCTTTCAGTTCCAGCTTCTGAATCTCAGCATCTGTCAGTGGTGCGATAAATTCTCTTTGGTGATAAGAGAACAGCTGCCAATAGCGAGAGCAAGAATGGCATTTGGGCTTTTTCCTGCCGTGTGAGAGCTTGCAGTCAGCAAAAATGCACTGTGCACACAATGGAAGAAGGCACCTCTTCTGCCCAGCCTACCGTTATTTCCCTCCAATGTAGCAGCATCTTTTCCATCCATGTTAAGCAGGCACATATGAACAATTGTGCAGCATAATGGTGTCCCAAGTCTAAAGGACTGGAATTAATTGACAAATGGCTTTTTCTTTTTTTTCTTTTTTTTCTTTTTTTTCTTTTTTTTTCCCCTTCTTTCTGTGTAGGTTCTGAAGGCAAGGGGACAACAAAGGAGTTCATTTATGTATTTATTTTAGGGAATGAGGAGATGTTTATGGAAAGGAAGAAGGTGTGGAAAGTTTCTGAATAATGTGGATTGTTTGTTACCTAGTGCAGTAACTTGTTCTTAATGAAACTGGCAGAGTGGTAGTGAGGAAAGAACTCCTTTCTGTGGAGTCCTAAATTTTAGAGGCATTTTTGGGTTTTGTATTGCTATTGGTTTTGGGTTGTTTTGTTTTTTTTCAGGTTTAAAAGTCTATCTA